CTAAATCCTTCATACAACGATAACTGCCACGCCTTGCACCTTTCAAGAATGTAGGCAAACACTCTGACTTCATTTCTTGTTTCACTCTTTCTGCACCTTCGACATCGCCCGCGTCTCTTAACTGTTTTCGTACTTTTAATGCATTCAACATATTGTATTGAGCGAGATATTGAAGAGCTTTGACGCTGCCTAGTGTTGACGCCATCTTGAGATATTGTACTCCTGTTTGGGGATCTTTCGGGTGATAGTCGATGCTCTCGTCAATAAGATATAAACCGACACGATAGTGTGCTTCAGCCAAGTCGGTGGTTTCGTCACCGTCTGCAAGTAATTTGAACTGCGTAAAGGCTGCGTTGTAATTTTTTTGTCTGTGTAAAACGAGCGCGCTCTGAATTGATATGCTGGAATGTGCGGATTCGACATATTGGCTTGGAATTTCTCGGTTGCTGTTTTCGTAATCTTGCTCAAGACTCTTGAGTCGTTTTGCCACGGAATCCATTGATGGGCGTCTCTTGGGATCTTGGCTCCAACACTCTTGCATTAACTTTTGGTATTCCTCGGGCGTGCCTTCAACAATTGGTGGGCGTGCGTCAACCCCGTCAGACTTTGTCAGCATTTCGCGCGCCTCGTTAGTAGTTTTGTCGGCAAACGGGGTTTTACAGGACGAAATTTCCCACATCAAAATGCCAAAGCTGTAAAACGTCAAATGAAAGTAAATTCACATGGATAGTCATCAATTAGATAATCGGGTAAATCATTCTTTTACCTGTAAACATCAGCTGACATTGAGTATTCGAGATTGCTATCTTTCAGTTTTTCGGGACATAGCCATTTGAAATGGTCATGTTCGTCAGCAAGACTTGTCGTGACGTCGGAAATTTTTCTGCTATGGTAAAAATTTCCTAGCTTGACGTTGTGTGACTTGTCTACATAGACATTGCGACTGCAAACGTAGGAAAGTATGTTGTGAATATCTTAACAACATCTTATCTGATCTAACGTAATCCACATTTTTCACTTACCTACGGATATTATGATGCAGCATACGCTTACTATGAAAGATAGCGACTGCACTAGCCAGGCGAGATGCCATTGTTATTCTTTTGCTCCAGCAAACATTGTTGTACTTCTCAAAGTATTCATGTAGCGTTCCTAATTCTGGCAATTCTTTGACTACGTAGTAAATTTCTTCATAAAGCAAGACTCCATAACTATATAAAGAAATTGAACAAATTAAAATTTTTTTTCCACGTGCGTCAAAATATCTTACTTACGCTTAGTAACAGATACGTACGTTTTCGCAAATAAATCGTTATCGGTATTCAATTTGGAGCTAATATAAGCTGCTTGGTATTCCTTGTAAAGCTTTTTCTTGATACCACTTTCACCAACCTGTCCGATTCTAATCACTACAGCGCTAACATCTTGATTAGTCTTCTCATGATATACGATCTTTATAGCATCATAATTAGAAGAATCAGGTGGCGACTCGAATTTAACTGAATCGGCCTTGATATTCAGGCTTGCAATGTCACTGTCCGACAACGTAGCGCCGTTGGCACATCCAATTGTAGTGAACAGGTCTTGACAACGCCTCTCACTTATTCTGCTACGCTCTATCAATTCTTTCGTCACTATTATATTGGCAGCCTTAAGAGCAGTATTCAAATTATCGTATGGCTTTTTTGTCTTTCTCCTTATCTAAGACAATAAGATACAATGCATAAAAAGTACTCAGAATTGCAATTCGGTCCATCATGTCAACATCGGGGGGAGAAGACGGTGGAAAATACTTACCCTTTCGGTGTTATTAAGTTTAATTAAAAAGATTCTCATTTTAGGTTTGGTATATCGTAACAGAAACTTCTCCCAATCTTTTAACGCTTTCATTAATTTTTGAACATGTTCCTCGTTGATTGTGAGAGAATTGTCACTGATTGCGTTTTTTACTTCTATAAAGTACGGTTTCATATCATAAAGTACATCTCCATTACAGCTTGCGTTGTCAATGAGCTCGATAATGCGGTCAATCTTAGTTGGCAAGTCGCATGCTTTTGTAGCTCTCGGGAGAGAAATTAATTCAAAGTCAAAAAACGTCATATGGTGATATTATCTTGTCGAAAAAATGTGAGGTAAAAATTGAGTGGGGGAGGAGATTTTATAATCCAACCGAAAAAATTATTGTCAGTGTTCTGCAGATGCCGTTACACAATAGCTGCGGTAACTAAGTAACAAGCTTAATGACGTTAAGACGACTAGCGTTCTAACCAAATTATTTGCTTTTGTTTATAAGTATTTAAGTTCATTGTTCCTTTGTACATGCAGATGATCATCGTTATCACCGAAGTAACTGCGGAATTGCCAATGGCTGGCTAGGTCGTTACGTTAAACAAACCCAATTTAATGAATTGGGTTACAGTGTTGCAAAATACGCTTCTATCTAGAAAAAAACTTTATGCTATCGATAAATGAAATCGATTAGTTGACATAATAACTTGTATATTATTTAACTTTTAGTCTGGACAACTAAGAAAATTAATTAAACTCAACTCCACAAACGCAGGAACATTGATTCCGCCTTGATATTGATAATCTTGGGTCGAATTTGTCGTCACATGCACACAATATTGTACGTGCGATCAAAGTATACGTTAAAACTTTTTGGAGGTCAACGTCACTGTTGGCATATTATCTACTTTGAAGAACGCTTGAACTTTTATTCACCGTCCTAACTGTGTTAACTTATGCAGGTAAAGAGCACTTGTATTATTAACAGTCACAGAACCAAAACGTTTTTATATATTCATAAACTTCATTCGACGTGCATGTTGTCTGATTCAAGTGGCATGGCATGCTCGAATTCACTTTACATTAGGCGACAGCAAGAGATTAAACATAAGGAGCAACGGATTTCTCAATGTTGTTCGAATTGTTTTCTACACATATTACTTAGTTAAGCGTAATAGTTAAGATAGACTACCACAAAATAATAAACCGAGTAAGATTATAATAATGTTAATATCTAATACAGACTTTATAGTAGTATACAGTACGTTCCCACTGTCATGAATAACAAACTTTTTTTTGCGCCCTGTTTGTCTTACGTTAACATTTCCCACACTAAACCGCATTTGGATTTA